CCTTCCAAGTAGCCGGAATTACAGGCATGTGCTACCACGCCCGGCTGATTTTTTGATTTATTGTAGAGATGAGGTCTCACCACCCAGGCGGGTCTCGAACCCTCAGGTTCAGGCAGTCCACTCACCTCAGCCTCCCAAAGGCGCAGGATTACAGGCTGAGCCACGGAGCCCGGCTCCGAATCCTTCTTAACACAGCTCCTCTAGGCAGTCACCCCAAGTGGGGACATCTGGCTAATGAGATGACACTTGTTTGAATGCATTTGTCACCCCTAGGAAGGTGTGTTTCATAAATAAATAACTACTTTGATTGAAAGAGAGTTAATATACCAACATTATTACTCAGCAAACATTTATTGAGTGTCTACTATGTGCCAAGCTCTGTCTAGGAGCTGAGGATACAGCCATAAAATACCCAATACAAATTAGTAGGTACAGTGGCTCACACCTCTAGTCCCAGCTATTAGGGAAGCTGAGGCAGGAGGACTGCTTGAGCCTGGGAGTTTGAGGCTACAGTGAGCTATGATTACACCACTGCATTCCAGCCTGGGTGACAGAGTGACACTGTCTCAAAAATAAATACATAAAATCAATGAAAAGCTCTACCCTCAGGGAGCTTTACATTCTTGTGAGAGAAGACAGACAACAAAATGTGTGGGTAAATATAACCCCACAGAGAAAAAGCAAGCAGGGAAGGGGGTTAGGATGTGTGTGGCGGGGAGGGTGGTTACAAAAAAAAACATAGTAGTTAGGGAAGGTCCCCCAGAGGAGGCAACATCTGAAGACAGAAGGACTGGAGCACAGGCACAGGGGAGAAGCTGGTCAGAGTCAAGGTCAGAGAGGTACCAGGAAGTCCGAGTTTTGTAGTGTCTTAGAGTCCACTCATTGACTTTGACTTTTTCTCCAAATAGGATGAGAAGCCATTGGAGGTGATGAGCAGAGGACTGATATAAACCAATTTATGCTCTAACATTGGAAGCTGTGGAGAATGGATTAAAGGGGGTTGGGGGGGGTGGTCTAAAATTACTATAAGCTAGGCACTGTTTAGGGGCTTTTCATATATTAATCAATTCCTGCACAGGTAATAACCTGTTGAGCTAGGTATTATCATCATCATTCCCGTTTACAGATGAGGAAACTGAGATATGGACATAGTAAATAACTCCCAGTCCTGCTAGTAAGAGGCAGGACTGGAATCCAAGCCCTGCAAGTCTGGCTCTGGATCCCCTGCACACTTGTAGGAGGTGGAGACAGGAGCTAGATGGCCTTGAATGCCAGCCCAAGAAATGGTGTTAAGACCAGTAGGAGTGGGGAGAGGTTGGGAGGCCATTTGGAAGACTGGTAGAGATTCTGGGAAGGTCAAAGAATTCCCCAAAGCTCCCCATCCTCCATCAGACTGAGGCTTTACAGATAACAGGTTCAGGTTAAAAAGTTGTATGGCTGGGTTTGAGGAGAGAAGTCAGGAAATC